TGAGCAGAGCCATGGAGCCTCGAGCATCTTGGTTAACTGAGGGTTGGCTCTACCCCTTTTTTAAGCTTGCATACATTTCTGACTTAAAGGAAATATTACGCAAACAACAGTTCATTCATTCATGTAATGAATACCTATTGAGTACCTACTGGGTGCCAGGCACTGTACCAGGTGCTGTAACTGCTTTGTTGTTTAGTTGCTCAGTCGTGTCTGACTCTTTGTGACCCTACAGACTGTGGCCTGCCAGGCTCCTCCATCCATGGGATTCTCCAGGCATGAATACTGGAATGGGTTGCCATTTCTTTCTCCAGGGGATCTTCCTGACGCAGGGATCGAACCCACGTCTCTTACATCTCCTGCATTGCAGGCGGATTCTTTACCTCTGAGCCACCTGGGTTGGAACTGCAGCATTAAATAAAACAGACCATAATCCTTCTCTTCTGGGGGCTTGTGTTCTGGTATGCCAGAGGTGGAGAGTAATAACAGATTATCTGAAAGGGGGTAAGTGGTAGGGAAAGGAGATGGGGGGTGGAAAGAGCAGAGAGACAGAGAGAAAGGGGGAAGAGAGGTGAAGGGACACAGAGGGAGGGACAGAGGGAGATACCATGAGACCATTGAGGTTGGTTAGTTGTCTTAAATTTAGAGAGACACAACTGAGGCCATGTTGTGACTTTCAGGCTTCCCTGATAGGTCAGTTGGTAAAGAATCTGCCTGCAATGCAGGAGACCCTGGTTCAATTCCTGGGTTGGGAAGATCCACTGGAGAAGGGATAGGCTACCTACTCTAGTATTCGTATTCTTGGGCTTCCCTTGTGGCTCAGCTGGTAAAGAATCTGCCTGCAATGCAGGAGACCCTAGTTCGATTCCTGGGTCGGGAAGATCCCCTGGAGAAGGGATAGGCTACCCACTCCAGTATTCTTGGGCTTCCCTTGTGGCTCAGCTGGTAAAGAACCTGCCTGCAATGTGGGAGACCTGTGGTTCAATCCCTGGGTTGGAAAGATCCCCTGGAGAAGGGAAAGGCTACCCACTCTGGTATCCTGGCTTAGAGAATTCCATGGACTGCCGTCCATGGGGTCGCAAAGAGTTGGACACGACTGAGTGACTTTTTCACTTTGTGACTTTCAAAGATTTTTAAATGATGCCACCTTTATGTAGCTGTATTTGAAGGGGTTGGGGGCGGTTCCCAAAGATTGCTTGCCTAGATGAGTTTTCTTAACTGTTTCTTAGTCTAAAACTCCTGTCCTGAATTTAGGACCAGTCTCATTAACCTGCTTCCTTTAGAAATAGAAATCACTTGGACACACTTGTCTGTGGGTGGAAAGGATACTGCCATGTTAGGAGACCTGTTTGGAGCTGGTCCTGCCTCAGACTCATGCCAGAGCCTTGTTGCACCCCTTCTAGGCTTTCCTGTCATCTTCTCTGTAATGGGAGAGATGCTTAGTCGCTCAGTTGTGTTTGACTCTTTATGACCTCATGGACTCTGGCCCACTAGGCTCCTCTATCCATGGGGATTCTCCAGGCAAGACTATGGGAGTGTGTTGCCATGACCTCCTCCAGGAGATATTCCCAACCCACAGATCAAACCCAGTCTCCTGCATTGCAGGTGGGTTCTTTACCAGCTGAGCCGCCAGGGAAGCCCAAGAATACTGGAGTGGGTAGCCTATCCCTTCTTCAGGGGATCTTCTCAACCTTGGAACCGGGATCTCCTGCATTGCAGGAGGATTCTTTACCAGTTGAGATACCAGGGAAGCCCAATGGGAGAGGACTGGGCTGAAATCATCAGAAGTTTTTTTCAGGATCAAAAAAGATAGAAGTCTACCTTTGGTTAGATTCCTGAAATTAGCATATATATAGGGAATTAAGTGTCAATTTTCACTTTAAAGCCGGGGTAGCCCAGATTCAATGTTTTTTAAAATAAAAAGGATTAAAGCTGATCTTTAGGGGTTTGGGGCAAAATACACTATAACCAAAAGGGTACCTGACCTATGTAAACTTTACTGTAGCTTTTAATTATTATCGAACTCCATTTAGAGCAACAGATATTTTACAGATGAAGTTATGGATGCTTGATAAGTTCCATGCTTGATAAGTTAGAGCCATCCCAGGGCCTGTGCTCATTTGTCTAGCACATTTTCCACAGAGCTGCTCTGCTTCCCAGGCTCCTAATGAGACAGTATTTTCATGTACTTTTTCAAGAGAAGCTTTATAGCCAGTCACCACCAGCCATAGCACTATCCCTGTAGTAGTGAGCTTTCTTCCTAGTATTTCCGGGATCAAGACTAATGTGTAGAAGAATTGCTTATGGCATCAGTATTCAGTTATTATCCTCTCATTATTTAAAAGGGTGCTAATAATTTGTTAACAAATATACCAGGCACTGTTCTAAGCCCTTCGGTATATTGCTTCATTTTGCCCAACTGTGCTGTAGTAAGATAGAGGTAATAGCAACCAAAGCCCAGAGAAGTGAAATAATCTGCTCAAGGTCAAATATATGACTTGCAAAGTTGGGATTTGAACGGAGTCAGCTCAGTACCCATGCTGTCCAGCATCACACTGCTCCAGCTTGTGTACATTTCAGGGGTCCATTGGAACCCTTCAACAAAGAGAGGTTCACTGATGAGATCTGAAAGCAGATCTCATCATGGAACTAACCCATGTTACCCAGACCCTTGGATTTCTCAGTTCTGCACTCAGTTCAGCTTTTTAATAGTAGCAGTTTCTAGGATGACTCTACATATGCAGGCTTTAGACATAAAGACAGCACATTATTTGATTCTGTTTATATGAAATGTCCAGAATGGGCAAACCTGTAGAGATAGAAAGCAAATTTGTGATCAAGGCTGGGGGAATGGGGAGTGACAGTGACTATTAATGGGTATGGGGTTTTGGGTGGTGGTGGTGAAAATGTTCTAAAACTGATTGTGATGATGGTTGTGCAGTCCCATTAAGTTGTTCACTTGAAATGGGTGTGTTGTATGGTATGTGAGTTATAGCTAAATTAGGTAGTTAAAAATAAGGAAAAAAGGAAGACTTTCCTCTGTTATATTTAGTTCATTTTAAATTGAGTTTTTTTCCTTAATGAGGATTGAAGAAAACAGAAAGATGTATCTTTCTTTTATGGTTTAGAAGCAGACTGGTGAAGACTGAGTCGATTATATAGCCCAACATTTGAAATGTCTTACATTTACTTGACAGTAATAATTTAACATGTGTTTGAAGATGTTGACATAAAAATGTTAGAGCATATTATTACTAAAAGTAATTTTATATCTTAATTTAAAAATCCCCAAAATATGTAATATTGTTTAGTTGATAGAATAATTTCAGGGCAGAAACATCTGACCTCATCTATCCACTCCATCTCATCCACTCTGCTGTCTCAGAGAACAATGGGTTATTTTGATTGGGTTTGGATTTATGGTTAGAGTGGTTTTTCAAGGCTATTTTGTATGAATTTAATTCATTCTAGAGTTATTCATTAATATTTTTAAAAAAAATTATTTCTAATTTTACATTGTGCTACCTCTTAATAGTATCAGGTTTTTTAAGTTTAGTATTCCTTTGTATAAAGACGTATTTTATTTTCCCCTAACTGTTCATGCTTCAGCCTCAGCAGTTTCCTAGTTCCAGTGTTCTGGGATTTGGTGAACCAAATATACAAGGTGACAGTGTAGTGATGTTTCACAGTAGTATGTATTTTGCACATAATAAGTCATTTTCATTCACCAAATAGTTACGAATGTCATTGTGTGCCAGGAGATAGCCATGACCCAAATGGACCCCCACCCTTGCCCTTGGAAAGCTGAGCTCTGGTGGCGGAAGCCGAGAGTCACTAATCTTATAAGATTGTTCTCACCTGGCTGTCTCGCTGCATCTTTGTCCTGATGGGTACCTTCATCTGCATCTTTTGTCACCTTTCTCAGGCATTTCTTTAGGACACTGACCAGCAGCACACAGCTATCAAATTCCAAGTTTTGTGCCAAGTGGTAGTAGTGTTCTCCATGCCAGATTTTGTTAGTTGGTCTTTTAATAAGCCCAGCAAAAAAAAAAAAATTCTATAAATATTCACAATTGTCTTGCTAAACTGAATATGGTTTTAACCACCAGTGACTTCATATAACTTTGATAAATAAAATAGCCAAAGCATTGCTTAGTTTCCTGTTGTTGCTATAATCTTCAAAGGTCTAAGTAAACCCCTGGGTTAACAAGGTAATTGTATGTGTTCTGCATATGATGGCTTCGTTTATGTCTACAAGAAAGAAAGTGAAGTCGCCCAGTCGTGTCTGACTCTTTGCAACCCCATGGACTGTAGCCCACCAGGCTCCTTGTCCATAGGATTTCCCAGGCAAGAATACTGGAGTGGGTTGCCATTTCCTTCTCCAGGGGATCTTTTCAACCCAGGGATCGAACCTGGGTCTCCAGCATTGTAGGCAGACACTTTACTGTCTGAGCCACCAGGGGAGTCATTTATGTCTGAACTGGGATGAATATGCCTTATTTAAATGAAATATATACGTTCCCTAGAAAGTGCTGATTAAATAAAATCCTACTAGTTTGATTTCCATCAAATCCATGCCACTTTAACTTGCCTTAATTGAGAGAAGACAGAATTATTAAAGAGAAAGGAAGTGTAAGTTCAATGGTCTGTCCTTTTTCTCTCTCTGCTTAGCTGTCTCTTAATTGTCTTTACAAATTAAGAAGTATGGACGTTTGAAGCCTGTTGTGTAATTAATAAACATTAAGTTTTCTCCGATGACAGGAACACGTGTGGTGTCTTCTGCTGAACTCCCCCTTCTCTGTTTCTTCATGGTTCCCTGCGCCTTCATTGGAGCTCTTTCCCATGAGCTGTGCTGTGGTTGGTCCTTCACATGTCTCATTCCTAAGAGGGAAACAGGGCCTGTCAAGTGTCCTCCTGTTTGTACTCAATTGCAGTATGTTTGAAATTGCATACAATTTTGTTGATTTCTTGAATTCGTTGTCTTTCTTGGTAGAGTTTCCAGTATGGCCTCAGCACCAACTTCCAAATATAATTCACACTCCTTGGAGAATGAGTCTATTAAGAGGGTAAGTTGAGTTTTCAGATTTATTTATTCCTCTTTCTCTGCATTTCTCTTTTCATATTTGAATATTAGCTGCTCATTCTGGGTTTCTTGAATTATTCATTTCATTATTCATTCACATAATGCAAATTCTTTGATACACATAGTTTTATTTGTTAACCCATCTCGTTCCATAAAAGACGGACTACCACAGGTGTGTTCAGTGAGCTTTGTTTGTAAATCCTTTCATATAACTTCATTTTTGAGACTCTTTGACTTGTGAACCACTGCCAGACATTACATTTAAGATACTAGGCAATCTCTTGCCCCTGAAAGCTTTCTGAAGAAGAGTTCGGAAGACCAGGGCCCGCCAAGACCAAGCAGGATATTAACACCTTCCTCAATATTGAAGGAGGCATTCCTGGCTGAGAACAATCTGCCTTGCCCTGTTAGGTATAAAATGCTCAGCTTGCAAGCACTAAAGCATATTAAAAATTAGCTAGGAATTTTTATTTTGTACCTGAACAAAAAGGGATAAAACCACTAAAAATCCAACAAAGCCCCCCTCTTTGACAGCTTATCCCTCACCTAAATACACAAGCTGCACTTCCCCTGTTTCATACTACTTTACATTTGCATGTTGCTGCTGCTGCTGCTAAGTCACTTCAGTCGTGTCCGACTCTGTGCGACCGCATAGACGGCAGCCCACCAGGCTCCCCCGTCCCTAGGATTCTCCAGGCAAGAATACCGGAGTGGGTTGCCATTCCCTTCTCCAATGCATGAAAGTGAAAAATGAAAGTGAAGTCCATCAGTTGTGTCCGACTCTTAGCGACCCCATGGACTGCAGCCTACCAGGCTCCTCCGTCCATGGAATTTTCCAGGCAAGAGTATTGGAGTTGGGTGCCATTGCCTTCTCCGCTGCATTTGCGTAGCCCCTGATAATTCTCAGAAGTGTGCTTGTGCAGTTTCTTTCACTTAATATTTACAAAGCTCCTTTGAGGCAAGGATTACTAGCTTCACACATGAAATGATTGCAGCATGACTTTGGAAAACAACTAGAAAAAAATGAATGAAAAATAGCAGTTTAAAAAACCCTTTTCCCAAACAGATGTTAGTGATGTGTCTGGCACGTCCTAGAGTGGACACAGGCAGCACGTCATTGGCACTTATCCACTGGGGCAGCTGAATAGATTGAAAGGCTCCTTTCCCAGGCATCCAAGTCACATGGCAAATTAGTCTCACAGAACTCACCTTGGCTTTAGTGGTTTATACTGCCTGGTTGGCAGAGTGGCTGCTGTTATTGAATGAGGATACCTCTAAAGGCGGAAGGCCTAGAGATGTAGTAGAGTCACATGAAGAATTTGTGTGTAGATGGCTTCCAAGGCCCTGGTTGGCTCAAAAGTTCAATGACAGGCCTCCTCATCCTCTTATCTAGTTACTTACATGAGAAAAGATGTTAGTAAAATAGGAAACCCAGTGTGTAGTAACTGTTATTTTCTGACATGTGAGAAGATGCTGTAATTACTGTTGCTCAGTTAAGGCCCCATTAAAATGAAGTTTTCATTCCTTCTCTCAACAAAATAGGACTAAATAATATGGAAAAAAAACTGCCACAGCATATATGTGTATCTATAGAATATACTCAGTGAATTCTGTCTCTTAGTGGGAGATAGTGAAGGACAGGGAAGCCTGGTGTGCTGCAGTCCATGGGGTCGCAAAAAGTCAGACACAACTTAGTGACTAAACAACATAGAATACACTTAATATTTACTTTTTATCACTTTCCTGAACACTGTTAACTGTAAAGCACTTGGAAGGGGTGTTTAATTAATATCACTGAAAAGTGTGCTGTTATTTACAAACTAAAAGATAACACAGCTAATGAATGTTGAATGCTAAGTTGTATTTTTTAGTTGTTTTGATTTTCTGTGCCAATTTTCTATAATGGTCACTATGTCTCTATTTTTTTTTTAATTTGCAAACAGTATTTCTGGTTAGTTGCTTAACATCCTGTGCAAATGTCATGTCCTTACTTCTGATGACACTGTTTTTTTTCTAGACTTCTAGGGATGGAGTTAATCGGGATGTGGGAGAGACACTTCCTCGACTGCCAGGAGAGATTCGCATTACTGGTAAGGCCTGTGAGGTTAGGATTTTCATAGATTGATGAGAGTTCTAGGAGGGCCAGGTGGATCCAATCCCTCTGACTCTTTCGAAGTCACATTTAGACAAATAGGCTAGATTTGTTTAAAAGTGTTAATATAGTGAGAACTCTCTGCATTTGTTTCTTGATCAAAGAGTTCTCTCGAGCTTCATGCTCTCCATGACAGTGATATTTTTTTCCCTCTGTACCAAGTCAGAATTATTTTGGAAAAAAAAAATGTGGGTTATATCTTTCGAGGCTCTCACTGGAGCTATAAGCTCTTATGGTTTGAGGTTATAAGACCAAAATGGTATTAAGATTTTCCAGCCTATCATGTATGCTTTAAAACAATCAACTTCGAGGCTTAAAGTCCAAGTACTCTCTTCTTTGAAATATAAGGAGACATATTGGTTTAAAATAGCTTTTATTTGACAGATAGCTAAAATTAGAAATGTTGATATAACATTCTGATTTTTGTCTTACTTTATTCACTGTAAGTTCGTATTAAGAGGAAGGTATCTACTTTGGAAAGACTATATCATTCTGGCTTAATCCAGAAGCACCTGACAGCTTCTAGGCAAAGTGCTAAGATTGTGAGCATTAACATTTTTTTTTATTAGAGTTGACATCCCTATTTCAGATTCCCATTTGGTGATGATAGAGTTACCATTGCTTCAGAGAACCTTTTGGTTTATTTACTAAGATCTGGGTTGTTTAGCTTAAAAGACTGAGACCATGGTGCTAATCTGATTAACGTCATAGATATGATACCTGTATGAATGAGTTAGCCATGCACAGCGAGAAACTACTCCATGTCCACAGGCTTGCACATATGATCCTAGTCTTGAAAAGGAAATGGGTGGCATGTTTCCATCCTAATTTGTGGATAAGAACAAAGAGAATATCTTACTTTTGATCATCTTCACATGTGAAGTTTTAGTTCTGTATCAGTGTTAACACCTTCACAGAGGTAATAACTGATTGAAGTAGCATGAAGTAGACTTACTGGATATTTTTCATTTAGCACCTGAGCAGAAAGGGGTTTCAAAAATTATTGTAAATAAACAAATGCCATTAACACATTCAAGGACATCCTTGAAAAATAAGACAAGGATACATTTTATTGCAATAACTCTCCTGATTTAGTTTCTCCTTATGTTTGATTCTACCAAAGATATACTAATTTCTTGGCCATCTGTTTCATATCACTTAAAGGTGTGACATGAATCTAGCTCCACGCTTCTCTGGACTATTAAAAGGGAAAGAATAGACTATAGAAGCATTTCTGCTACTGACAGTCATTTATTAAAAACATCTCAATGTTTTGTGTGATTAGAGGTTGGCAAACCTCAAACCCAATCTGGGGGAGAGTCCGTGAGACTGTCCTGTGTGAATTGCCATCCTCTGGTTGAAGTTTGCAGTTCAGCAGTTACCTTGACAACCACCGGAAGGCAGCAGCTCCAGTACCCTTATTCACTTCTGCTCTCCAGCTGTTAGGGTCTTGTCCCTAGGTGGTGGTAGCATGGTGGGTAAGCTCAAGTGATATGTGCCCCACCTCATTCTCCCTCAGCTCCACTCTACCTAGCATGGTAATGTAGAAACATTGCCAGTGCTTGCTTTAGACCTTTTCAGTGATTTTTTAAATTGTAGTTATTCTTAGCCAAATAGTTTATATTAAAGTAGTGCCATTTGTTGTGTATCTTGGTATATATTTCCATTATTTTAGGGTACTTTTTTTATCTTAATAGACAAAGAAGTTATTTACATATGCCCTTTCAATGGCCCCATTAAGGGAAGAGTTTACATCACAAATTATCGTCTTTATTTAAGAAGTTTGGAAACGGTAAGTAAAATCTAAGACCGTAAAGATGACCCTAACTGTTAAAGATAATGCTAAACTGTTTCTCTTCTACCTTGCAAGATTGACTGTGGATCAGATTAACATGGGGGATATATTTGCTTCTCAACTCTTAATTTTTGGCTTACGCAAAGCTCATTTAACACTAACATCTGTAAATGTAGGACTAGAGTGAATTAAAATAAGTTCTGTCCTTCATAATATGGGGAGGGGGATTTGGTAACTGTACCTGTTTGCTCGTTTGGAGAGATTCCTTAGGTGGAGAACAGTGGTTCTTTACCAGAAGCACCGTTAAGAACCACTTGTGGCACTTAGCAGCCATTACAGATGCTGTGAGATACTGCATCCAAATGTCCAGGTCTGTGGTCCAGGCACAGTGGTCATTTTTTTAAAAAAACATCACAGACAAGGATGCTGATGTGAGTCCCTTGTGTAGGCCCACTGCTCTAGAATTTTCCAAGTGTTCATTTACAGAACACCAGGTAATGGTTTAGAATTAGGATGTCTGTGGTGTAGCTGAGTGCCACTCTACCTTTTATTCCATGCATTTCAAGGAATGTTCCACTGGTGGAACAATGAGTTGGACATGAGATGCTCCAGAAGGGAAAGAGTGAATAAACAGCTGCTATGGCTGTCCCAGAAGGGCCTATGGTGGATGTGGTAGGTTCCCATTACCCAGGCCAGCCTGAAGGGGCAGTTATATTTTGATGAGGTGGACCAAGTGGGATGAATAGGTCTGGGGCACGTGAAAGAGGAGCTGAACATCAGCTTATAAATAGGAGATGTTGAGACTGTTGGGGGGAATCTAGTTTTTGTTTTACTGCTTTTACCCCACAACTTCTTTTGAACAGGTCTAATCTAGATTAGTTTGCATCTTTTGATTTAAAAAAATTTTTTTTTCATTTTTGTGTCCAAATTCTGAAAAATGCTGTTTATTTACTCTTATTGCCTTCGCTATGGGAGCCCACTTCTGTCGTGTTTCTAGGTCTACATGGTCCTGAGATTTGGTCTTTTATTTTTGTGAATCTATTCAGGCCTCTAAGTAAGAGTAGAGCTGAGCACATGTTCTAGTTTTCCAGAATGTGAAAGTTTCTGAAACTTAACAGAGCAGTAACCCTCCCTTCTCCAAGGGATCTTCCCAACCCAGGGATTGAACCCAGGTCTTCTGCATTGCAGGCGCATTCTTTACCCTCTGAGCCACCAGGGATGCCCTCAACCCTTGGCAGCAGTTGTATTATAGAATTAATCATTTGAACAGGTGATTAAGTACCCAGGAAAGAAAGAAACCCATTGGGAGTACTATTGGGAGTACCATTGACACATTGTCTTGGTTGAATCAAAGCATATGCCTGGCCCTGACAAAGAAACATGATGGCAGTACACTTCGGTGGAGTTATAGACTGTGTAACTGGCATCAGGCCTTTGACTCAGACAGTGGTTAAAGGGAAGGGAGAGGGGTTTGAAGTAGTTTTAATCTAAGATATTGGAGTGAAACTACTAATGTAAAATTTAGTGTAGGTAACATTTAGTTCATAAAAACCAGTAGTATCAGTGAAGGATGGAAGAGGTCTGTCTTTACAGGGGCTCACGCTTGTCTGAACCAGTAATTAGGTGGGATGGATTAAAAAGTTAACAGACATATAGGCTGAACTAACTATAATACAGTATAATTCTGTATTATACTACATAATATAATACAGCCAGCCAAAGTGAGACTCATTCTGTACAGCTCCCAAGTGTCAAATTGGGACACACTGAGAGATTTTATGCTAATGTATGCGATAATCATCAAAAATGAAATTAGAGCAGGTTGTTGACCAGCCAGACAGGCCCGGTTCCATTTCGTGCTGTCACTGTTGATGAACTGGGGAAATTATTTAAACTGCAGTGCCATGACAAGATTGTGTCTGTTCTGTGATCTAAAGTGTGGAAAGCAAACAAAAACTGTATGTCAAAAAGAGAGCAGAAAGAAATACACCAAGAGTGTTAATACTGGGGATATTTGGACATGCTTGTTTCCCTCCTCCCACTTGGACGGAGCAGGCATTACTTTTGTAATTGGGTGAACTCTTAGCTGGCATTATTTATTTTGTCTTTATATGGCACTCCAGAGGCCAGGGATTAGCACTCAGTGGGAGAAGAAAAGACCCACTTGACACCAACTGCTAATCTTTGTCTTCTTCCACCAAGTTTTACATAAATATTTTGACCAGTTGGCCACAGCATTTAGTCCAAGTATAAAAGCAAGCAGCTAATGGCAGAAAACATAGTATAAAGTAAGCCATTTGGAAGATTATGCAGAGGCCTCAAAACATAGTCATCATAGTGTCTCTCAAAGTCCTAAATACGAACATTAATTGTGGATTCTGCTGCAAAATGTGAATGTTTCATGTGTATTTGACGAAGAGCCGTCATGCCCCTGGCCTTTGGAAGCGGACACCTGTGTGGTTCAGGTATGTAAACACTGCAGTGGGATCACGGCCAGACTCGGGAGTCAGGTGTCCTGTTTCATTAGGTGATGTCCTGGGCTGGTGGACACAGTGGTCTCTGGGCTGCCACTCGGCCTTCTTCCCCTGGGCCTCCTCTGGGGTCTCCCTACTCCACTCTGACTGGCTTACTGGAAATACTTGTTGGATCTCTGTTGCCCACAGAATAAAATCCACTCTCCTTCGTGGGGCAGAAAAATCCTTCTGAGTTCTCTTGCCTCATCTCACAGCGCTTCTCCCTGTGCCGTCGTCTCTTCCCTGCCTGTGAGGTCCTTCTGGGCTGTTCTTGCTGTGCCTGGATGCCCTCTCGTCCCTCAGAACCCACTCAAAAATCACATCCTCCCTGGAGCCTTCACCAGTTTCCATCATAGCCCTCACTCCCTCTCTGTGTGCCTGTTCCCATGTTAAGACTTACTACTGGGCATCTCCCCTGCCCACTCTGAACATCTGACATCCCTCCCCCTCCTCCTCTCCCCCGTTCATGTTTATTCGTTCCTTCACTGTCTCCTACTTTATATATTTTACTGCTTTGCCTCATTCCAGTCTGTCTGAGGCCAGGGATGCCTTGTGATTTTTCACTGCTGTGCTCTGAGACCTAAGACAGAGCATGGTGCCTGGCAGTGAAGGATTTCAGCCATATCTATGTGCCAGTGTCTCCGTGGCCATCAGTAATGGGGGGGTCCTCCTGGTCCTCCATGTAGACAAGAGGTAGTCAATAGCATTGTGTTCTCAGTGATGGGGAGGCAGCAGGCAGCGTGGACCACACTCAGTCATGGCATCCTGAACACCACCATTGCTTTTGAGTTGAGAAATCCCGTTGCCTCCTTTTGACCTTGAGGGTGCTCTGAGGTTGGGCTTGGCTTCGATCTCGTGACTCCAGTAGGGCTGGTTTGGCCTGTAATACTCTTGTCATCTGAAGACTCCCAGGGCAGCACCACTTCTGGTTTCCCTCCCAGGAATACTTCAGCTCAGGTGCTCAGGTGCATGAACAAGACAGATTAACCCTTTGTTCATTCAGGCGGCTGTATCCTCATTCCAGAGACACTCAGCACCCGGGTGAATATGCCATGGTGCTGGATGCATAACACAGAGATGAGCAGGTGTGGTGTCAGGTGGCAGAGCCTGCAATGGGTGCATCATGCTGTTAGATTACAGGACAGAAGCAGGGTAACTGTGCGCTGAGTCATGGAATGCCTTCTAGAGGAGGTGATGTGGGAACCAAGTCTTGGTGAATAGGGACCATTACCTGGACAGGAGAGAGAGAGAGAGGAGCCTCCACAGGGTGCGTGTACAGTGCTGTGGAGGAGCCTGGTGTCTGGTGACAGTGGCTAAGGGCTGTGCTAGAGCAGGAGCGTGGATGGGGAGGGGAGAGATGAAGCTGGAAGCATTGCCAGCCTTGAGCAGCTCGTAAATCACCAGTGTCTGTGTCACGTGGGGAACAACACAGCCCATGTGTGTTTCAGGAAGGGAAGTCAGGTCTCAGCATGTGTGACAGATCAGGGGAGGGAAGACTGGAGGCAGAGAGACCATCCAGGAAGTTATCTTTGTTTTCTAGGCGAGCTGGTCCTAATCGAGTCTGGGTTGCAGTAGAAAGGAGGGAAGTGCCATGAGTGAGACAGGAGGATCTGGGTGGCATTTGGAGCTGGGAGCTGAAGGGAAGAGTAGAATTAAGGATGATCCCTGTGGTCTTGGGCTTGAGTGGTTGGAGCTGCTCCTGTCCGTGGAAATAGACATCAGAGGAGAAGGAGGGACTTGAAGCCTCAGCCATGGGAGACACGTGTGTGTGTGTGTGTATGTGTGTGTGTGTGCGTGCGCAGACTGGCAGCTGCGCAAGTGCAAGCAGTAAATAAGTGGCTCAGGAGCCTTGAAAGCAGGAGTCTGAAGCTGCGGAAGTCCAAGCACACGGGTATCACAGTAGCAGCGGGTGCACGTACAGGATTTCCTGGGGGGCCATGAGACCAGCGGAGATGCAGCTGTGGAGAGAGCCTGAGGGCAGGGACCGCGTCTGTGGGGAGTGGGGTGGGCAAGAGCAGAAGCCACAGTCAGAACAGAGGACCGGCTCAGACAGGGGTGGGCGCTTAGGAGAAGAGAGAAATATCTAGAAGGAAGGGAGTGGACCACAGGGTGAAATGTTGCAAGGTTCAGTGAGATAAAAAAGGAACAGGGGTTCCGGGGAGGTTTGGGGGAGGTCGCCGGCAGCCCAGGGGAGAACACAGGCCTTGGACATGGGAGCATCATTGGCCTCTCCCTTGGTCCTCCTTCCACCAGCCCCCAGGCCTTGGCACCCTTCTCTCTATTCATTCTCCGAGAGGCTTCCTCCACTCCCTGGCTGCACTCAGTTCTCCCCAGATAACATTGTTTGTCCTCGAAGCTCCTCGCAGCCTGCCGAGCCCTTGGCCCACATACTCATCCCATCTAACGGCAGCTGCCCGGCCCCTTCCCTCACACCCTGGTCCTGGTTCTCTAGTGCTGACCTTTCTTCTGCCCCCAGCTTCTCTT